AGAGAGAGAGAGAGAGAGAGAGAGAGAGAGAGAGAGAGAGAGAGAGAGAGAGAGAGAGAGAGAGAGAGAGAGAGGCAGGCTTTACTCTTCTGGAGGATACGATGTGCAAGTGAAGGTAGGACTGGAGAAAAAAAAAGTTCCCCAGAAAGGAAAAGAAAACAGTTCCTCAGTTGTCGCGCTTCTGCCTCGGCGACTCAGGCAGAGGACCCACCTCACCCACACGTCACGCACCCGTGACGCACCCCTCACACACACCTCACCCTCATCTCACCCTCACCTCACCCTCACCCTCACATCTGCGGTACTTCGGATCACTTTTTTTTTTATGTCACTGACCGCTCACACTCCTTCTTACACCGCTTATGTGTTGCAGTGATTTGCGAAGGGACATAGTGGACTTCAAAGACAATCAGTTCAAGGTAATGACTCTAATGGGTTTGTGTGAAGGGACCCAGTGTTGTGTGTTAATCGAACTCAATCCTACGGCCTCCAATCGGGGGCCGCGATTCCACGAGCATCGACAAAGACACAACCGACATGCTTGCTTGGCCCAAACCGTGGGCCAGCCTTGTAGAAAGAGAGACACACAGCATGGACGGAACCTTCCACCAGCACCACAAGAGCCTACCTTCTTCCCCCGAATACAGCGTACGGTCGTTATAGCGGTATCTAGACTGAAAGATGCCTCAAATACAGATACAATGGACGTACGTTGTATTCGGGCGAAGATGGTAGCTCAGTGGAAAGTTAGGTCCATGCTTGGTTGGCCCAAACCGCGGGCCAGACCCGTGAGACCCATGAACTGTTGAAATGCAGACCGGAGTTTGAATCCAGATGACGGAACAGGATGAGTAAGGCCAAACATAGAAAGGGAGAAAAAACAAAACTCCCACCACCACAAATAAATAGAGAAACTGACATGCAAGGGTAAAGTTCATCTTTATTTTATTTTATTTTGTTTTATTTTCGGGAGTTCATCTTGATTCATGCTGGTGGATGTTCTTTTTCCCCCCTTTCTTTTTTTACTATAATAAATTAATAATAAAATTTAAAATTGTCTACACGCAAACCATGGGCCAGATCTGGTAATCAGAGCACACATGATTGGATCTGATCATCGCAGATCGTTGAAGGTTCTAGACATTGGAACTTCAATCGAGAGCGAAAAAAGTTGTTGTTAGCTATTAGCCTTTTCCTATATGAAGTCGGGACCCGGTTTCCATCCGGTGCAGCTCCCCACCAATAGAATCGAGCCTTAATTAAATTAAAAAAAAAAGAAATGAAGAAGAAGAAGAAGAAGAAGAAGAAGAAGAAGAAGAAAATGGGTTTGAAGGTTGAACTTGGAAGTTGGAACTCCTCATTTGCTCATAAATATACCATACAATTTAGTATTTAGTATTTAGTATTTAGTACATGAGTAATGTGCAACAAGGTGCTCCATTACATTAAAAAAAAAAAAAAAAAAAAAAAAACCTCACACCCCACTTTTGGTTCGTTGAACAGGAGTGGGAGAGAAACATGGAGGGCAAACTTCAGGACATTTCACTTGAAGTTTCGGGCAGACTAATGGAGCTTGATGTACGAGATGGTCATATTGAGGTATTTTCCATTTTCCTTTTTTTTTAATTAAATTTTTATTTTTTTTCCCAAAAGAAAAGCATGCTTTCATTATATGAGAAAAAGGAGGCCGGGAATCCCTCCACATCTCAACCCGGAATGCTGAGGCCAATACCCAACTTTGGCTCATACTTGAGAGCGGGTCCAGTGTCCCGACAGTCCCATCCTTCAAAATCCCAACATGCTATTCCGGAACAAAGTATAGTAACTGGACTCCCCTGCCTAAGCTAGCCTTCCCGACTGTATGTTCTTACCTAAACCCTAAACCCTAAACCCTAAACCCTAAACTCTAAACCCTAAACCTTAGTGTCTTACCTTGTGCCTGCTCCTCTGAGCCTCCGGGATGTCGAATTTTACTATTATCTATTATCTATTAGACTATTAGCCTACTATCTATTAGACTATTAGACTATGATCTAATGGACTATTATCTATTAGACTATTATCTATTAGACTATTATCTATTATCTAATACCATTTATTGATATTTCTCGATTTTTTTCGATTGCCATACGACCTCTGTCTATATCCGTTCTCTCTTTTTTTTGGGGCACCATTTTTAGCATTTTCTTCATTTCTTGATTTATCCATGTCATCCTATGTACTATTGATATCTATATCTAATATCTATATCTCCTCTCTATTATCTTCTTCTGTACCATTTCTTAATATTTCTCGATTTTTTTTTTTTTTTTTAGTATTTTAAACTATTTTTCCAATTGGCATCCTTCCCCTTCTCTATTCCTATTATCTTTTTGTTTTTTTTGGACCATTCCGTTTCTTGTGCGAGGACCTGGGTCCTCGGCAGGCCTAAGGGCCCCCCCCTGCTGCAAATGTGCCCGCCCTAAGTGAAGGCGGGCCTAACAAATCGCGAGAGGCCCTAAGCTGTCAAATTCGTATTTGGGGTCCAGGCAGTTTCGTCGCGCCAGTTGTTTGAGGAAACACAGGCCGAGCAGCAAGGGAATTCCTCGGCCTTCTACGATTTTCCGAAAGTACAGGCCCTGGGCGAGATTCGCAGCCTCATACACAGACAGTTGGGAGGCCCAACTGATTGAGGCCCAGTAGCTGCACCAGAGGCGCGGCATCCTGGGGCCTACTGGAAGCTTCTGGGCCCAGGCCCAGACTAGTCAGGCTGCGAAGGCAGGCAGACTCTTTCCATATAGGAAAGAGCTCGTTTCCTAGAGCCTCATGCAGGCACTCGCATGCTAGCGGCAGCGCTGATGGAGCGGACGCTCGTGGGCTGCTGCTGGCGCTGAGAGGCGAGGTGCAAGCGCGTGCGGTCGTAGAGAGAACAGGGCGCTGCTGAGGGCAGCGCCAGAGCCCAGCCTCCATAGCTGGTTGGGCTTGGACTACAGTGAGGCGCAGGGGTGGTCTTCGGGTGTACAAAGGGAAGACGAGGGAGAGAGAGAAGGATGATGATGATGATGATGATGATGATGAGAGGGCACATACCTGGTATTGGCGATGGTCTGCTACGGGCGACATCTTCAAGTACTTCGTTGGCTGCTGACGTCAACAGTTCCATTGTCAATTAGAAGGCTGGTAGTAGCTGTGTAGGGAGTAGGCTGGGCGCCGAGCGCCAAGTAGGGAGATAGGGACTGGATACATATATTGGTGGTGGCGAGAGCAAGCTCTCATTGACATTGGTTTTCAGTGCTACGGTTCTCCATTGGTGTCATATTGGTGCAATGCTGCTTTCTGAACACTGTGATACGATCTGGCTTTCAATGCGATTGTGCAATCTGAATATTGTCATCTCGCTATTGCTCATTTTCCTTGCACTTGTCTCGATGTGCAAAATGAGAATGAATCTTCCCCTAGAACATGGAAAGATACACCTCCATATTTTTGGTATTTTTGTGCATGTGGTGAGTAGTGGAGTGACTCACCATTCATTTCATGTGTCTAACTAACTTCTCTCAGTCTCTGCCTCCTTTTCTTTTTTTTTTTCCTTTCCTTCTTTCTTTTCTTTTTCCGTCCTCACTCTCGCAGGTGAATTTTAATGGAGATCTTGTCACACTTATACGAGAAGTTAGGGAGCTCGAAGCGATGGGATTTTATGTCAAGGTCTGGAATTCACCCCTCAAATGGCACGCCCCCCAACTTTGAGACTTCGTCCTCTGTTCTTAGTGACAAGTTATAATGCCATCTCTCCTCATGCATAGTTGTCCTCTTTTTTTTTTTTTTGTCTCATTCAGGACGCACAAGTAGAGAGCATAGTCCCAGTTTTGGACTGATTGATATTTGCTTCCATTGAGCTGTCTGTGTCCACATCTGCATCTGCAGATTGCTTCACAAAGAGACTATTCTTTCGCAATGTATTTCAATCTCTCTCTCTCTCTCTCTCTCTCTCTCTCTCTCTCTCTCTCTCCCCTCCTTGTATACACGCACACCCCTTACAAAAAAAAAAA